TATTCCAGTCATGTGGTCAATTGGGGGGGTGAGCACAGGCTACTAGTATTAATGTGTCATTTGTAACGTTAATCCTGATTAGAATTTAAAGCGGGACACTCGTATATATAGCCATATACAGCAACATAGTAAGAAAATACACTAATTCTGATTTTTATTCAGAGCCATGAAGTAAAGTGGAATTTATTTATTTTGTTTGCTTGTCTGTTTGTTTGTTTTTTGTTTGTTTATTTGTTTGTTTGTTCTTTGAAGAAATACAAACCCAATATTATTTACGCTTCTCGACACAAAGACCATACATGCATGTGCTTTATAACCAATTACCGTCAAAGAGGGCGCAATAAAGCTGACCTATCTTATTAATGTATATGTATGATATGGGGCATAGAAGTCAATAATGTTGAAATGAATGTTCGTGTAACGCATTTCAACAGTTTTCAGTAAATAAAATAATAATGAAGATCCATGAAGACGGCGTGGTTTACCAAATTAGCTTGAGTCTGTCGTTGTTTCTAAGTTGTTAAATATTTGGAATACGCAGCAAAGTTGTCGGCGTCTCATGTAATTACGGCTCGATTGCTTGGAATGCATTGACAGATATCTCGCAGTGTAGATGGCAAATAGGAAAGACGATTCGCTAAATATTACGTATATGCTAATGCGTGCCAGCTGTGATGGGGCATCGATCCGAGTGATATCATGACAGTCACCGTGACAGGTAAGGAGCGGAACGATGTATTATTCATCAAGACGTCGCATTCGATACGTTGTTGTCCCGCGATTAATCACGGTTATGATAAAGTCTCGACATTAACTGCATGTACATCGCGCTAGTTTTCTCAAGCTTTCATTTGTGGCTTGGCGACTTTCATTCCCTTTCCTTGGTGCCAGGGTCGTGCAATAAATAATCTGTAACATCCAGGGTGGTCCTGTGACGTCATTTAATTTCAATATGATGCAGTGGCGTGAAATGAACAACGAGTATGACAATCATTCAAAACACCAGGATTGGTTTACAAATAAAACAGTGTTACGCTTATGTAGTAGTACACATTAGTTCTACCATGAATGAACAGTTTGCTTTAGTACAACGTTCGTAATGTGGGTTATACCACATCCATAGCGGTTATGAAATAGTGAGGTTGATATTAAATATAATTTCCTTGTCGGAAATACAGAAAAGTGGAAACACAATTTAATCAACAACAATAGTGGCGCGCAATAAAATTTAAAAACATCCCGGGTTTGCTGCTAGGATTAAAATGTTGAGTGTTAACTTCCTCCGATCAACAGGGTCGGATTTTTCAATAATGATATCACAAACGTTATATTTAAGTGATTACTAGTGGACTATTGTGCATTTTAATATCGTTGAATCCATTACCATATCGTGTTGTATACTGTCACACCAACGTATAGAATTGTACGATTATTGTTATAAACATTGGAGTTAAACTGACTTTATTTTAATTTTAAAAATATCCATGCTCCAAAATGTTTAAATACACCTGTCGTATGGATTACCCACAAAGCAATGTAGGCGGCAGAGACAGCCCACTTCCGGTTATGAAATCAGCAGCGAGAAACATTCTCGTCTCCGTATATCGGGGAAAATAAATTTATTATAAACAGGAGAATTATAAAAACTCATATGACCAGTGAGTGGTACGTATGATATACATTAACATGGAAGTGTGTTAGTGCGGTAGATAGGAGTAAAATCAAGCAGGACAACACCAAGCTGTTATGTAGAATACAGAGTGTGGATACTTCGGGTGTTCACAAAGAAGTAACTCAGTTTATTTATGTTTGTTCGCACGCAAACTTCGAAAAAATAAAGCCAGTTCCTACTTACTAGCCGTAATTTGTGTAAGACAAATTTTAATTTTACTAAATTTCATCTATGGGATGATAACATAATCGGGATTAGCGTCCTTTTTAGACTATTCAGTGAATATTGAAAGAATATTACAAGTCATGAGTGCATCTAATGAAGTGACGAGTGACTTTTGTTTCGGGCAATGATGGATATTCAGAATTAAAATTGGTGATGTTGTATTTGCAAACATAGACTTGGTGATGTATTGAAGATAGTAAACAAACAGATGACAAACCTGTAACCATCTACAAAGTGGAAGGAAGATTTCGTATTAATATTGTGAATACAATAAAAATAAACATAATGTATATTACAAAAACAGCAGAACTACTGATCTGGCTGTTTTGTTTTTGTAGCGGCACAATTCGGCTCTACAATGAGAACAATACAGCTCTCTCGAGATCAGCTACTTTAACGATGTTGATGTTTCATTAAAACGTTGTTTTCGAAACAATTTTGTGCTCATTGGAAGAAAAACAGCTCATGCACACGACACCTGGACACATCGGTACTTTTGACAGACTGACCTGCGTCTTAACAAAGTTTGGTTATTATTAATTTAAGTTGAAATAATTAAATTAATAAAGTTAATGTGGAAATTGGTTTTAATTAGCTTACTCTGTGGGAATATACTAAGTATCGCCGAGACCCTGCAGACAATATCAAGGCCACCTGCTATCTGATTGGTTAAATAAACACAGGCGATGGAGATGATTAGATGACGTCACGTGCCCGATCGTTCTCCTATCACTCATAGGACCAGGAATGTATGAAATGAGCACGTCACACGAGTGGTAACAATGGACTCTATTTGTTTCAATGTTGTTTAATGGTCACTGAAAGAAGGGGCAATATAATATGGAGTATACACTCCCTAAGATTAAAGACTTAAACCCATTCACAGTTGCCATCGAAATATTTACCCTACAGATTGGAACTGGTGCCCTCGTTATTGACATTCTGTTGGTGTTTTGATAAAACGTAAATTACATAGCGATTTGTCACCGCTAAATCCTATTTACAAACAGGTGACAGCATTCCATTCACTTACCTGGCCCGCTCTATTGGCAACATTGTTGCTCTTTTCAGCCTAAGCTATGCAGTGAGTGTGCTATAAGCGGGGATTGTTGTAATCCCATTGGCACTTTAATTGCGGAAAACTAACTAACTGGTTCTCTTAATGGAATGGACGTTCAATACATCATACATTAAAAAGAAAACATTGTAAAATTCAATCGCTATTTACTGTATCATATACTAAGAATTATTGTATGAATGATACAAAAAGTAACAGGGTGGTCTTTTCAGAGCCCCTGTGACTTCTATTTGCTTTAGCCTTTATTCGTTGTTCAATATTGGAGAGTCTGTTGATTCCCTTTTCTTTAGCGTTGAAAGTGGGAGATCGATATTTCCATCGTTCTCGTCATTGTGGACGATCATGAGAAAAGAGGGATAGACGGATAAGCAAACA